CATTAAGAGTCTCTTCGAAATGGTGTTAAAGGAACCCAAGAATGGCCTGTTAAATAGAGGTGCGATTATGGAAATGAAGGGTTTGAAGTGCTGTAATCTTTTTATAACAGGAGCTTATAGTCAGTGCGATGAGCCTGAAGTGTTGGTTTCGTGCTAACCCTGCCACCGGACGCTTTAAAGGGGGCAGTTTTTCTTGGGCTACCTCTCAGGCATCTGTTGCCAAAGCACCACCATATCTTCAACCAGGTATGAATAATGTAGTGTCTCCAAATGGTCTGGAAGGCGAAGCTCGCAGAGTGAGTGTTTTTTCTAAGACGGACAAAGTGTTGCAAGGCTCATCATTTCCAGGTGGTGAATATCAACAACCCAGCTTGACAAGAACGAATCGTCATGGCCAACGTTTTGTGTCTTCGTCATCCAGGTATGAATAATGTCATTCTCAGATGTTCAAGAAAGTGAGGGCTGAGAATTCTAACTGATAATGTTTGACTGGTTTCATTTAAGGTGGACGAATTTTCAATACGATACGATGTTTGCTATATAATTTTTTTAAAATTTATTTCGGCGGGGGCGGGGCGGGGGACGACTTTCTATGATAATGTACGGTGAAAAATACATTATTGCAGATTTAACTCATCTTCAGTATTAATATTTGCAAAGAAGTATTTTAATATTTTATTTTTCAACTTTATTTCTGTGTAAGGAATTTGTTCTTAGTAATTCACCTGGTCATTAGTACTAGAAAAATCGAAACGAGAACAACGTTAACTACTAGGGATAACCACAGAAGACCAAAAGTGGCCAAATAACAATTGCCAGAAATAAATAATTGCAAATTGGTCATGGGTGGTATTGAAAGTACTAAATTATTGCCTCCTGTAATATTTTCTGCAAAGAACCAGTGGTTTTAACTTGTTACCAAGATGAAGTGATAGTCAATAGCCATCACATTTAGAGGCCATTTTTCAAGTTTTCAATTTCGGAATGACTGCCCAGGAAACCTCAAGGTTGAATTCCATTGAATGTAGTGTACATCAAAGAGCTGTCTTGAAAAGCTGTTGTTGGTCACCAAGTGTGACTGGTATTGTTGAAGTAATCATTCTGTGCTGTTACAGCCATTCATGTTGGTTGATGTCACCCTCTATTTTCTGCTTCCAGGAAAATGTCAGGTATTGGGCATGCAAAGTTTTCCAAGTTTACCTAAAGACTGAAGGCTTCTTGATTATCCATTACAGTGATGCATTGGAAAAAAGTAAACTGTGTAATGAAACATATAATGCAATCGTAGTGCATCTCAAGTTTGAACTTTTACTGATTGCCAATTGAGTGAAGATCGAAGAGTCTTGATGAGATTGTTTTGCAATAATTGAGCTATTCATATTGATAACTATAGCTTTGTAAATTCTAGCTATAATCAAAGTATATTTTCCTTGAGCTGGTGTAGAGTTAAAAATGTATACCATATTATTGTTTCTGTATGGGCACAGTACTCAATTAAGTTGCTATAGCTGTGGTCCGTTATTGTTTTCCGTTAAATCTTGTTATGTTACTTGATCAACTGCCTTGTAAAATTGAACCCGACATAAAAGGTGGCAATGTGAAATTGTGCTGGCATGGTTTTCAGCGTTGTCTTTTGAGCCTTCTTAAAGAATTCTTATTAACTGAGTATAGCTTGGCAATTGAAGTTTTTGTGTCTTGTATAATTGGGAATTCCTATCT